TACTATTCTATTCTATGATGTTTTCAAAGACCCCTGTTATATTCCTAAAACCCATTGCAGTGTCAAGTTACCTTGGAACTCTACATTATTTCATACAACTTCACCCTTCTCTATGCAATCTATGCCATGCTGTAACTAGGCCTTCAAACACACAAAATTTTAACTACTACATACCTATCTCCTTTCCTTCCAGAACTGGACAATGCAGATTTGTTTCTAGTTGAGTTAAATGATACTTCGGAATCTTCTCTGCAAAACAATACATTTATGACATATTAGATTCCTATTATCAGTACAAAACATGTCTAAACAAGTCTTTAACATGCAATTTGAAGGCATAGCATGTAACAGTTTTATTTGAGATAAAATAAAGAGACACAACTCTGATAACTTGTAAGAAAACCTGCAAACTTCTAGGATTTTACACACTTTGAAATTCTATTTAATTTAGGATATTAACAAAAGATATCTTCAGTATCTTATCAATGTATAAATATTTGTAACTAATGTAAGACTTTGCATGTTTTGATATAAAATGGCAATATTAGTATTAAGTATTCTATCCCCAAGGTTATTGTCCTGATGCTTGTACTGCTGATAATATCTCTGCATTATTATACTGATATAGATACTTGCTGAGCCTAACTAGTGCTTTAAACTAGCTATATTCACCGTATTTGTACTTGACAATACTTTTATCTATTTTAAAAACATTAATCATTTCAATTTTTAATTTATATGAATAAATACTTTAAAGATATACATGTAGTTAGCTTATGACCAGAGACACAAAAGAATAAGTGTTGTAATACTTATCTTTATAAATGATTGTCTGATATTGTTAAAGCAAAGAAGTTGGTAAAGTCAAGCATACCTGAGTGACATAAAATCTCTCTGGGTGAAGTCATTTTCATCTATATCTTCTTCTTCTATTAATCTGTCTCCAGTCTGAAACCTGTCTCTAGTTGGTTTGGAAAACTCATACTGTATAGGAAAGACAGAAAGATATAATATCAGGTAAATGATGCTTGGACAACAGTATATCTATTTATAGTTAAATTTTTAAAGAAATGAGATGGTATTGAAGTTATTGTATGTCATGTTTTGTTTCCTTGTTTAAGAAATAGGGTAGAAAGATTTTCTCTTTTTTTTTCCCCTTCTTTTCGGTCTGTATAAAGTCAAAATTTTGTCAAAACATTGTTAATCCTGGACAGATTTTTTGGGGTTGGTTTTTACATTGCACTAACACATTCATATGCCAACAGTTCATATTGCAAGATCTCCGGTGCAACTTCGTGCATTATTTCTGTTAGTTCTGGCACCTAAGTAGAAACACCAACATTCTGTACGGTAGCTGCTTAGGTTCCTCACATGAAAAAATTGAAGGATTCAAGCCCACAGTGATGAGGAGCAAGTGGTTTGAAGTCAACAATCTTACCTACTCTACCACAGATGCCCCACTGATTCTGGACAGAAGATTAGCTGTTCTTTAACTTTACAGATAAAAACTATATGCAATGACAAACATTTTGTTGGAGAAAATGAGTAGTACATCTGTAGGTTATCAGCAACTGCTGTGACTATAAATTAACATATATACATAAATAGAAAACTAGAACCAGATTGTAAAATACCTGTTCATGTTCCCTGCGTACTGCATCATTTAATTCTTGTTTCAGTAATATAACATGACGTTTACTGTTCTCTCTTTCCTCCTCTAAACTTCTCATCTTACTCTCAAGATGATGTTGACAGTCAACAAATGCTCCAACTAGATTCTGTAACATATATTTATAGATCTTGATCACGTGACCTTCATTGTTTTAAATGCATAAGGAAAAAACAATTTATCACATACCTGTGCCACTTTTGCAGGTGTGGCATAGGCCATACATATATTTTGACGTGACCTCAATTGCCTTATACAACCATAGAGTTAAAGCGCACTTATGTTAGCTTTTAAATAACAGTATGTGTGCGTATATGAAAACAAGAGCTGTCGGTAGGACAGCAACGCTCGACTATTCTTAGTGCTTGATAGTAAAAAAAAATGCTTGATATAGTTACCTCCTCCTGTTTACAGGTTGGGGTCATGATGGTGAACAAGTGTGCAAAGTTTCAAAGCCATATGTCAATGGACTTTGAAAATATTTGAACTATTACAAAAACTTTAACATTAATTCTAAGTCGAAAAAGGGGCATAATTCTGTCAAAATGCTTGATATAGTTACCTCCTCCTGTTTACAGGTTGGGGTCATGATGGTGAACAAGTGTGCAATTTGAGTTTCAAAGCCATATGTCAATGGACTTTGAAAATATTTGAACTATTACAAAAACTTTAACATAAATTCTAAGTTGAAAAAGGGGCATAATTCTGTCAAAATACTTGAAAGAGTAACCTCCTCCTGTCTACAGGTTGGAGTCATGATGGTGAACAAGTGTGCAAAGTTTCAAAGCCATATGTCAATGGACTTTGAAAATATTTGAACTATTACAAAAACTTTAACGTAAATTCTAAGTCGAAAAAGGGGCATAATTCTGTCAAAATGCTTGATAGAGTTACCTCCTCCGTCTACAGGTTGGGTCATGATGGTGAACAAGTGTGCAAAGTTTCAAAGCCATATGTCAATGGACTTTGAAAATATTTGAACTATTACAAAAACTTTAACGTAAATTCTAAGTCGAAAAAGGGGCATAATTCTGTCAAAATGCTTGATAGAGTTACCTCCTCCTGTCTACAGGTTGGGGTCATGATGGTGAACAAGTGTGCAAAGTTTCAAAGCCATATGTCAATGGACTTTGAAAATATTTGAACTATTACAAAAACTTTAACGTAAATTCTAAGTCGAAAAGGGGCATAATTCTGTCAAAATGCTTGATAGAGTTACCTCCTCCTGTCTACAGGTTGGGGTCATGATGGTGAACAAGTGTGCAAAGTTTCAAAGCCATATGTCTATGGACTTTGAAAATATTTGAACTATTACAAAAACTTTAACGTAAATTCTAAGTCGAAAAAGGGGCATAATTCTGTCAAAATGCTTGATAGAGTTACCTCCTCCTGTCTACAGGTTGGGGTCATGATGGTGAACAAGTGTGCAAAGTTTCAAAGCCATATGTCTATGGACTTTGAAAATATTTGAACTATTACAAAAACTTTAACATAAGTGGTTACGCCGACGCCGACGCTCGGGTGACTGCAATAGCTCTACTTATTCTTATCCAATAGTCGAGCTAAAAATGTTTGTTTCTACTGTAAACAGTTCTTATTTTGGGTATGTGATAAATCAAATATTATATTTGTGTAGATTCAATACTAAGTTTATTGAACTCATTGAATAAAACAATATCATGCTTGCCAGAGGCTAGCATAATATTATTTTATTCAACTCATTCAATAAAGTATGTGTTGAATCTACACTCATTCAATATCCTCTATTTATTTCTATATATGACTCATGTCAGAAATAATGTTATTCCAGCCGTCAAAAAAAAGACGCTCAAAATACATTTTAAAATATATCTGTATATAACTCAACATTAAGATGTTTCACATATGCCTTGATGTTCAAATTTGACATACACTTCAAATATTGAAGTCCATTCAGTAAGGATTCAAAGCAATCGATTTTGTTTACCTGGCATGCTATAAGTTCAGGTCCAGCCTTGCCAACATCTTTAGGTATAAAATCAGCATTGAGTAACAATTTTGACAAGGAAACATCTTTACCATTCTTCCCACCTAAATCATGCTTTGTCTGTTAACAAAAACAACAAACTATATTAATATAACTGATTCCAGAGTTGCTCCTTTTTCATCAAAGAAAGAAGTAACCGATAAAATTATCATAAAAACCTTTAAAACAAAACAAAAAAAGCTTGAATACAAATTCCTCATGATGTTATTTTTCTAATATTCAAGAACAAACACGCCCTGCTTGAATGAAATGTTGTTCAAGATGTTATTTCTCTTTACATTTTATCACATGACCATGGGTAATTTAAAATCATAAATACAACTTGAATGCCTAGAATCTTTGACCACTTCCTGACAAAAGCAAACAAAAATACTAAGATGATCCCAGCCAAAGCCATGTATCAACTAGAAATGCGTCCATAGGACATGGATGCCCTCATATTACACTGTTTATCAATCTACGAATGGAGAGTGAGACAGAAAAGGACAAATCTCCCTTCCCCTCCCCACCCCCACAAGTAGTAGGGGCATCAAATGAGATTATGAACTCAGCTTTATAAAACACTAAGACTGATGACAATAGATGTGCTGACATGATTAAAATCAGTGTCACATTTGTGAATATACAAAAACAATATACAAAAACTTACTCTAACAAGAGCATTTTCCACTGTCTGTATATATGAGGTAAGTATATCTTTATCTCTGAAATAATAAAATGAATAATATATCTATCAAAATAACAACATGTATATAATATCAAATTTTTTAGAAAACTTTGCATGAATATAAAGGAAGATATAATGCTTTAAAACAGCTAACTTTTGCCCTTCAATTTCTGGGTACATCTTATATCATGTCATTTCATTCAATATCAATATGCATACACACAAAACTACAAATGTATCCAAAGGGCATAAATGTCCACAAATTTTACTGATTTCACAGTCTAAGGATGGACTAAATGACATTAAGAAAAGTGTGATGGACAAGGGCCTCGGGAAACATAAATGCCCTCCTTCTATTTGGGGCATAAAAAGAGTTCACTTACTTGGCAACAGTCCTGAGAGCTTTTTCAGCATCTTGTAAATTATTCCGCAATGATTCCTTCTCCCCTTCTAGTGCTGCAAGTTGTTTGTTTACCTGTCTCACAGTCTGTTCCTTACGTCGTAACTCTAACTTTGTCTCAGCTAACCCCTAACATATGAAACAAACAACAACTTCCTTACAATAAAATTAATATACAAGAATGTTATCATTGAAAACAACTGATATTTTCTTTTCTTTAATTTATGTTTATTAGCTTTGTGCAAAAACAATTTCACTCATATAAGAAATTACATGAACAATAAAAACCTTTCCTTCATCCTAGACTGCAACTTAAAAATTTAAGTTCAATTGACCTTCTGTTCACCCTACTGATCAAACAGTCTTGTAATTAAACTTTAGTTTTGATATAACATTTAATAACTTCCAAAACAGCATAGTATGATGACATCACAGTAACAAACAAACTTCTCTTTTGGCAGGCAAATGTGTAATACTATCAACTATTCAACTATTACTTTACCTGTATGGCCTCTGACAAAGTCTGTTCTTTCTCCATTCCCTCAGATGAGAATATATCCATTCTAGCAGAGAGTTCCTCTAATTGTCTCCCCTGTTCTTGTAACAAGTTCTGTGCCTGCTCTTCTCTACGTAGTGCATTATTCAGCTCTATACACACACTCTCAAACTTCTCTATAGGTACATACTTGTTGCCCTGAAATAGTCAGGTTATAGTAAGTTATAATTATGGCTTTATCAATTTCTAGTCTGTTAATGGAAGGAAGCTACCTGATAGCATACATGTAAAGTTGGTGGTTCTCCTCTGATGCCAGCTAGCACTTGAAATAATGTACAGAGTGCCATAGACTTTCCTTGCACAATAGGGCTTGAAAACCACCATATGACATTCATAGTGATGCCATGATGTAACGTCAATCAAAAAAATGTGAATGTATGTACATGTATCTTAAAACCATGAAATAATATATTATTTTTATAGGGTATAATTATATACTATAAAACTGAACATAATATGTTTTAAACAATCTGGTTATTATCTTACTTAATACTTAAGTTATCTTTATACATGTAGTAAATTTAATTTATGATGTACAAGACACTGAACTTACATCATTATGGAGATAACATTCCGAGGTTTTATTCAGTTGCAACTAGCTAAAAGTCAACATGCTTTAACAAGATAAATCCTGCAAAGCATTCACATATTTTATACCACTTGTACTGTAAAGCCCAATGTCAAGATTCTACCAGAATTTCTTCATTATGATCACACAAAACCAAAGTTTTCTTTTTGTAGGAAGGGGAAAAAAACTTCCCTTGACATTGAAAAACAGACTTAAAGTAATCGTATTAAGTTATCAATTTTTCGCAGCCATATTGCCAGGCTTGTGACACAGCCAGGCAGCAGCATATCTGTCGAGACAGAACAAAACTGTTATGGAATGCTCAATTTTAGTTAGTTTTTTGATAATAAAATCCTTCAGTCTTGCAATGTACCTGAGACCATTTTATCAAAAACATATAAAAAAAAACCCCAAATACTAAGCTATTCTCGTATTGTAACTTGTATTAACAACCTTTTTAAAAAAAATTTACTTGTAACACACCTGTTGTGTAATGGCTATATCATTTCCCTCTGTTACAAGTTCCTCTCGTTCAGGTCCAAGCCTCTCTACCTCCTCCTGTAGCCGACTAACCTCCTGCAGCAGGGACCTCCTCTCAACCTCTACACTGTGTAACCTCTGAGTAAACTCCAGTATATGTGTCTGTAGTGAAATCATCAGCTCCTGAAAATTAAATGTTATAATTGTAGGAGTCACTTTTCATTTAGTAGAAGATATTTTGAATGTTCAATAGAGAAAAACAAGAACATATCTACATTGTAAACAAGAGCTGTCGGTAGGACAGCAACGCTGGACTATTCTTAGTGCTTGATAGTAAAAAAAAATGCTTGATACAGTTACCTCCTCCTGTTTACAGGTTGGGGCAATGATGGTGAACAAGTGTGCAAAGTTTCAAAGCCATATGTCAATGAACTTTGAAAATATTTGAGGTATTACAAAAACTTTAACATAAATTCTAAGTCGAAAAAGGGGCATAATTCTGTCAAAATGCTTGATAGAGTTACCTCCTCCTGTCTACAAGTTGGGGTCATGATGGTGAACAAGTGTGCAAAGTTTCAAAGCCATATGTCAATGGACTTGGAAAATATTTAAGGTAATACAAAAACTTTAACATAAATTCTAAGTCGAAAAAGGGGCATAATTCTGTCAAAATGCTTGATAGAGTTACCTCCTCCAGTCTACAGGTTGGGGTCATGATGGTGAACAAGTGTGCAAAGTTTTAAAGCCATATGTCAATGGACTTTGAAAATATTTGAACTATTACAAAAACTTTAACATAAGTGGTTACGCAGACGCCAACACTGACGCCGACACCGACGCTCGGGTGACTGCAATAGCTCTACTTATTCTTATTGAATAGTCAAGCTAACAAGAGCTGTCGGTAGGACAGCAACGCTCGACTATTCTTAGTGCTTGATAGTAAAAAAAATGCTTGATACAGTTACCTCCTCCTGTTTACAGGTTGGGGTCATGATGGTGAACAAGTGTGCAAAGTTTCAAAGCCATATGTCAATGGACTTTGAAAATATTTGAACTATTACAAAAACTTTAACGTAAATTCTAAGTCGAAAAAGGGGCATAATTCTGTCAAAATGCTTGGTAGAGTTACCTCCTCTTGTCTACAGGTTGGGGTCATGATGGTGAACAAGTGTGCAAAGTTTCAAAGCCATATGTCAATGGACTTTGAAAATATTTGAACTATTACAAAAACTTTAACGTAAATTCTAAGTCGAAAAAGGGGCATAATTCTGTCAAAATGCTTGATAGAGTTACCTCCTCTTGTCTACAGGTTGGGGTCATGATGGTGAACAAGTGTGCAAAGTTTCAAAGCCATATGTCAATGGACTTTGAAAATATTTGAACTATTACAAAAACTTTAACGTAAATTCTAAGTCGAAAAAGGGGCATAATTCTGTCAAAATGCTTGATAGAGTTACCTCCTCTTGTCTACAGGTTGGGGTCATGATAGTGAACAAGTGTGCAAAGTTTCAAAGCCATATGTCAATGGACTTTGAAAATATTTGAACTATTACAAAAACTTTAACGTAAATTCTAAGTCGAAAAAGGGGCATAATTCTGTCAAAATGCTTGATAGAGTTACCTCCTCCTGTCTACAGGTTGGGGTCATGATGGTGAAGAAGTGTGCAAAGTTTCAAAGCCATATGTCTATGGACTTTGAAAATATTTGAACTATTACAAAAACTTTAATGTAAATTCTAAGTCGAAAAAGGGGCATAATTCTGTCAAAATGCTTGATAGAGTTACCTCCTCCTGTTTACAGGTTGGGGTCATGATGGTGAACAAGTGTGCAAAGTTTCAAAGCCATATGTCAATGGACTTTGAAAATATTTGAACTATTACAAAAACTTTAACATAAGTGGTTACGCCGACGCCGACGCCGACGCTCGGGTGACTGCAATAGCTCTATTCTTATCGAATAGTCGAGCTAAAAAGCAGTTTTGAAAGCAGTTAAACAGATACCTGTGGGGAAGATGGAGCTGTTTCGGACCCAGTTCTTAGCACCTTGCTCAGGCCACGCCCTAACAACCGCACCAAAGAGTTTCTTTCTCTAAATCCTACATCAGGCCTTATGGACACATTCTCGTAATATCGCCCCAATCGGTCAAATAGGCGAGTAAACGAATTCCTTGCTGCATTCACAATGGCTCTTGTTTCTACAGTGCCAACTGAAATACAATGTTTTGACCTTTAAATAATTATAGAATTGTGTAATAAAGGACCTTTTTGCGACAATTTTCTAACAAGGTCTAACAAGACACCTAGCTACACAAGAATGTTACATTTTACAATTATTCCTTGACAGATTTTATCATGTTTGTCTGTTGAATTTAAAATCACATGGACACTGAAAAGGTGGAAACACTCCCCCCACCCACAATACACACACCCAGGCACAAGCTGGCACCCAAGTTGAACCATATTGAGTAAGTGAGCTAGTATCTTCCTCACATTAAGGAATCTAAACTTCCCGATGGGATCTAAACTCACAGAGTTGAGGGACAAGTGATTAAAAATCAGTTTGTAAACATTTTAACCTTAAGTTGCTGTACTAATATAATTTTGTGTAATGGACATGGTCTGCTTTGAACATTAAACCATCCATTCTTTGAATTGTTGAAAAGTGTCAGACTGCAGTTGATTCTAAACTGGTGGCCTAGGAGTGTCCATGTTACTAGCTAGAATTACCTTTGTCTCTTCCTTTAACTTGATTGATAGTCTCCATTAGCTCACTAGAGCTTGAGGTAAGTGTATGAAGGAGTTCAGAGCTTGTCAACCAGTGCAAGAGTCCGGTCTCACCAGGTCCTTGCTCTCTATGGTATCTTTCTTCATCTGTTTAACACAAAAGACATATTGTATATATAAGAATACACATATGAAATAAAATGTAAGAAACTAAATATTTAAGCAGCACATTTGAAGATTGATGCTGAATTTAATGAAAATTTAGTATTTTAAAGGTAATCCACTGATTTTTTTTTGATTTATTTTGCCATAGCAGGAATAGAAATATTTTTTTGAGATTTGTGTAGTATTTGATGAAAGTCAGAGTCAAAAACTTGTATTAAACATTTAAGTTACCAAAAATAAGTCTAATTATACAAAATTACTGAATAAGTAATACAGAGAAATTTAGTGATAAAAATATATTACACCCAATTTTGATATCACCTTTTTGTCTGTCAGTAAAAGACAGAAAAACCATTAATTTTCTAAGTTAATGTTACATAGCAAAATAAAAAGTATGTTAATATAATATGATAAAGCATACCATCATCTCTAACAGGAGTATCAGTGCTGCCTGTACATACAAGAATATTGTTCTGTCCAGTAGCTGAATCATGGGTAACAAACGTTCTTGAACTAACTTGACCTAATCTCTTCAACCTATTAGCAGCAATCACTGCAATGGCACCAGTTCTAAATACGAGAGCCCCACTTCGCTTTGTCGGAGCAGTTTCTTTTGGCTTGCCATTTGATTTGTTCATTTCTGAGGTCAGTGTGTGAACAAGAAGTTCCACTCTTTCCCGACAGACGTCCCAGTTGTTCAACTGATCCTCCATAATTCTACGCTGCATTGCGAGGAAGTTTGAACGCGAGCATAGTGGATAGAAAGCACCAATGAGCAGGGAGCATGAAGCAAGAAGAGCAGAGTTCTGCTTCTTCATTTCACCGAGCCGTCCCTGAAGTTCAGCACACTCAGACTCTAGCCCCTGTTGTACACCACCTGTGACTCGTATCTTCTCCCACGCCTGGTCTGCTACGCTTTGACTCTTCTGTAAACATTAATAATATTAGCAATAACACTTCTCATACTATACAAATACAATATAGTCAACCTTAGTGCAATAACTGGTTAACTCCTATTAAATTTAGAAGGACTTAACCCATCACTGCACTAAATGACAACATTTTTTTTTTTATCATTAAAGTTTAGGCTGCCTCACTACTTTGTTGTTTTATTAGTTCTGTAAAACTTTGAAGATTCATTTCTCAGGTTCTATGTTGGTCTTTTGGTTTTTTTTTTTTATTTTGCTTTTTATCATAATAGTGCATCATCTTCATATTACTGTATTACAAAAATATACTGACATATTTACATTATCTTGAACTACACAGTACTGAATAACATCATTTTCTATGTGTATTTTCTTCATAAAATCTTTCATCAAGAACTGTATCTATCAGTATCTTGATGTAGTTCATGGCTATTTAATTGTAATGAACTTTTATTCTTTTAGTATTTTTCAAAGGAACCTAACTTTACAACTACATGTATATCTTTAAGTTAATTTATATATGACTCATCACTTGTCCAACTTTAAACAGTCCAAATTGACCATGTTATTTTAAATGTGAGGGATTTTCAATACTTTCAAATTAAAATGCAAAAATTCAGCAAGTAAAGTGTATAAACCCTAGTCAGTCTGCTTGAATAAACAGTAAACAGTCATATCTGGAATTATGCTGGCTGATGAATTCATTAATTTACCTTAATTCTGGCCTGCATTTCATTAAGCAACTGTTGATAATGTTCCTCCATTTCTTGTTTTTGTTTCTGCCAGGACATTTCCCTCTCCTTTGTTAATGTAGATAGTTTATTTAGCTGATCTTCATGTGACATGTGCTCCTCTTTCCAACCTTCCTCACGACTCTTCAATGCTCCTTCCATGTGAGACATCTATAATATAAGAATATTTCATCTTGTCAAAATATAATTCTTCATTAATATATACTAATTAATGTATAATCATTTAACAAAATAAAACACTGTTTAAAACTTCCCTTGGCTTTATCGAAACCATATTGACAGATTTAGTAATGTTCAAATATTAACAATTTATAAAATTGGACTGAATTTACTGCTTCTGCAACTATATTTCTACCTATTACTTAAAGAGTTAGGAATTTTATTTCCTCATATTTGACAAATTTTATCTAATTCATGCCTTTTGCTAGCTTAAACTACTTGCTTTGAGCATTCAACAAGATGTTTACATTTTATACTACTATATAAATTCTCATGAAGATAGTGTGCCACTTCATACAGCATAACTAAGGGATGTTGGGGGCAGTTGTAAATTTTTAGTTATCTGTACTGATTCTTTCATTCCATCATTTAATTTCAAAAATCTGTGTTTCCCTATAAACTACTTCTTGCAGTATCCAACAAATCAAAGTTTTGCATTTATTTCTATAGTATAAAAGATAGTGGACATTCCATGCAACTTTGTAGAAGAAAATGTTCGATTAGTTTATTCAAATTTATTTTAGTTTGATTGTGTTGGAACCTATAAGTTTATTGAAACACTATCAAATCTATTCCTGGAACTAACCAGATATTGTCAATGAGTGTAAAGTTTCTTGCTCAAGGAAA